CACCCACATGGAAGACTCTACCTTAATTTCAATACTTACTGAGTACCTTCTGTTTTCCAGGTACCATGCTAGGTTCTGGAATGCAAGAAACATGGAAATATTTACTCCTGAAAATCACTTCAGCTTTCTCATCTCCCATCTGATTGAAAAATCATATTTCCTTCCTTTTTTACGTTCTTTTCCTTGTTTTACCCCCATGAGCCCTAGAGTTTGCTAAACTTGTGGATGAATGAATGTGTGTCATGAGGCTGCAGCCAGTAAGCACAGAGGGTTTGTTTTGTTTTGTTTTGAGACAGTGTCAGCAATGCAGTTCAAGCTGGCCTTGACTCACTATGTTCACTATGTAAACCAAGCTAGCCTCAAATTCATGGTGACTCTCCTGCCTCAGCCTCCTAAGTGCTAGGACTACAGGTGTGAGCCACTGCATTCAGCTCAAGACCTTTAGAAAGCGTGCATCACTATTTTTTTTTTTTTGTCAAAGTCAAAATGTGAGCAGGGAGGTAAGGAAGGTATTATTCCTGACTTCAGACAGGAGAAACTTGACACAAATTACCTAAGTGAGTTGCTTAGGCTCATGTGTCAGCCTAGAATTCTTTTCACAGGGTCACTTGCTGCTAAGTACATAACCTAACAGCGTAGTTAAAAACATACCTGTGGAAATGGAGGGTCATAGGAATAATATTATAATATCTCCAGAATGACCTGCTCTAGCTCCTTTGCCAATGTCTGTAAAATCCCATCCTAGGACAGTGACATCTTCATCTGGGTTGCTGTCCGCTGGCGTTTCCAAGGCTGCCAAGCTATGGTGTATCTTTTTTGTTTGTCTTTGTCTTCCTATGTAACCTAGGCTGGCCGCAATCATGTGATCTTTCTGCCTCAGTCCCTAAAAGCTGGGATTGTAGATGTGCTCCACACACCTGGCCTTCTGAGGGGGTTTGTTTGTTTTGTTTAGTTTTTTAACTTTATGCATTTGATACAGAGTCTCACTATGCAGTTTGGACTCATAGTGATCCTGCTGTTTCAACCTCCCCAGTGCTGGGATTACAGGTGTGTGTCACCATGCCGGGTCTTGGTGGCTGTCTCAAGTGGCGCTGGCACAGCTTGTGGTACCAGGTATCAAACCCAGGTCGTGGTGCTTGCCTAGGCAGGTGCTTAGACTGCTGAGCTACCTCCATGACCCCTTCTGGGGTGTTTTATACCAAGTGGGTAGAGCACTGTCCTTCCTGGCCCAGGGCCCAATCTCTTCACAGGGCCCCTCAGTCTGTGCTCCTGGTGTCGGCATCCAGGGAGAGCAGCTCCCTCTTTTTTTTTTGGCAGAACCAAGGATTGAACTCAGACCCTTGCGCTTGCCATGGAAGCGCTTATTCTAGTGAACCATCTCCCCAGCCCCACCTCATAAAGGCTATAAAAGGGGCCCACAAGGGAGTTCACAAGGTGCCTCAGCTACTAGCTCTATATGTTTTTCCTCAAGATCGATAGTCTTCCTGAAACAGAAATCTCATTTACAAAAACTCCTAAAGTATTCCCTGTTTGGTATTTAAAGGCCATCTTCCCTCTCAGATAATTTGATAAGAACATAAAAACAACCAATTTTGTTTACATTGCAAGATGCCAGTTATACGTGTCAACCAGGTGAGACTATAGCCTGAAAGCGCAGAACTGGTCCGAGACAGTGTTGCTAGAGGGGACATCGGTGGGGGCAGGGAAAGAAAGCAAGGGCTGGGGGGCTCTGCCCGCACCCGCAGGCAGGAGACAGTGAAGCCAACCAAATGGAGAAGGGAAGACTGTGGAGGAAGGAGGAGAGGCAAATCGGCCCAGGGAAAGGTTTAGCAACCATCACATCTACAGAAGAACGATCTTGACCAAAGCAAGAGTGTGGCCTTTTTATGCCCTCAATAACCCAACACAAAAATACACTTATTCCGAAATGAGCAGTATTGAAGTCACAGGTGAATCAGGCCCACGCTGTCCTCTGCTCTACTACAGCTTCTGTAATTACAGCTTTTATTGCACAAATCTTTCTGCAGTTCTGTTCAAATACCAAAGGACATTTCTTACTTTAGAAGAGAAAGGGAGTTGACTCTAAAGAAAATCTTACAGGTGAGTAGGAGGCTATGCCATTTCAATACAATAAATTCAATTTTCCTATCTTGGCAACTTATTGGCCATGTATGTGAGAAAAAAATAACCTAACATTCATCTTACTTCTGGGTAGAAGCATACTACTGTTTCTTTGGAGATATTTGATATTGTGGTATTTGAAATTTTACAGTTGTCGATTTGAAATGTTAAAAACTAGTTAGTTCTCTGGGTTTAGGTGGCAGAGCCGAAGCCCCTTGTTATTCAGGCCGACGTCCTGCAGAGGGAGCTAGAGAGCTGCCTAAGAAGAGAGTACACGCCTGAAAATTTGCCTTTGCTTCTGTTGCAGGTAAGGATCAGTCCACAATTTGAAAAGCCCATCTGGAATTAGAAAAAAATCATGAACACAGCTAGAATTCTGGTATATTCTCTAGCCAGTATAGGTTTTTAAGGTACATGAAGCTTTGCGCAGTGGCAGTATCGTAGCCAATGAGGTTTATCCGAGGCGCGATTATTGCTAAAAGGTACATGAGAAGTTTAGAGAACTTGGTCAGCGTAGACAGTATTCTTTGTTAGAGCCTATGTCATAGTTTAGCCACTGGACAATTCAGCTTTTATTAAATATTCCCTGTGCAAATATTTCAAAACAACATAGATGGTCTCAGACAAGAAAAAACTGTTGGGAGACATTTCTGGATATATCTCTTAAGAAAGTAACTCAGAACATCAGGGGAAAAAGAGAGAATATAAAGGTTAAATGATGTATAAAAGAATCACTTGATAGACAAAGTCCAAACTGCTGGTCTGGTAGTGTAATGAAATATATATATGTATGAAAATTTATTTATTTATTTTACTGGGGATTGAACCCAGGGATTCACACATGCTAAGGAAATAATTTATCACTGAGTAATTAGCCCTCAACATTTTATTTTGAGACAACAGTACCCTGAATTACATATGATGACCTTGAATTTTTTTTATTTTATTGCAAAACAAATATCAATGAGACAGTTTCAAAACTGATTAGTAGGATATTTTCAATAATTAATGCATTGTGCATTGTTATCTTCTTAGTGGTTATCCATAGTGCAAGAAGCAGACAGGATATCCTGTCCAAACACTATTACTACAAATCTTTCTTCTCATTGAATTAAGCAAAAGTAGCTGTATATCTATCCTAACTATTCTGTCTATACAAATACAAAATGGTCCTTCCTTTGTATCACCTTTTTTTGTTTAGTTCTGTCAGAGATGGGAATTCTATTGGCATCTAAATACTATAGGTGCTTGAATTCAGCAAAACAATCCAACACTGTCCAGCAGTCCACAATAGTAGTGGGTTACCCGCAGCAGCTGTTGTGACCTTGAACTTTTAATTCTCTGACTTCAACATCCTGAACAACTGAGATTACAGGCGTGCACCACCACCCTGCCACCACACTCATACATTGTCTATGATAAACATAGCTAAGGGTTGTCGAGATAGCTCAATGCACTAAACGCGTACTTAGGTAAGTGCAGGGAATGGGGTTCAATCCCCAGCACCACATGATGTCATGCCAGCCCAGTCCCCAGGTGCACTGAGCTGGTCACCAAGTCCAGGTATGGTGGTACGTACCTGTAATGCCAGCACCGGGGAGGCTGAAAATAGGAGGGTCACTACAAGTCTGAGCTGTGTAGTGAGACCCGGCACCAAATACATTAAAAAAAAAAAAAAAAAAAAAGGATAATTTCACAATTTAAAATTCTGTACATAGAGACAAGTTATTTAGCAAATAACACTTAAATATTAGATTAGTCACAAAGAAACAAATGGCATTGAGATTCAGTTTGCAAGTCAAACTGTTGTCATTATCTTCAGGGTTCAAGGTTCTGTTTCCCTATCATTTTTTGGCATTTTCCATTTCTTTGTGAATATCAGTGATTTTCAATTAAGAAAATGAAAAGGTGGGGATGATGGTCTTCATGTTCCCTATAGACATTTGGAAATATTTCGAGAAATTTTTTAGTTATCAAAATTTGGACAGGAGGATATGATTTGTTGCTACCGACATTTAGTGGGTAGAGGCCCCGGGCGGACACTACCAGACCTTCTACAGTGCATGGGACAGCCTCTCATGAGAGAATTATCCAATCCCAAATGGCAGTAGTGCTCAAGTTGAGAATCTTTCATCTACATTTTCATATGATATTATTAAGCTTCTGTTGGAAGAACTTCCTTTAGCATTCTTTTAGTGCAGGAGGGCCATGGACAGTTCTTAGTCTGCTGTTTTTCAAAAAGCATTTTTTCTTTCACAATTATTTATCTATTTATTTAGTACAGGGCCTACAGGGTCTCACTACACAGAATGGACTTATAGTGATTCTCCTGCTTTCAGCCTCCCAAGTACTGGGATTATAGGCATGCGCCACTGTGCCCAGAGTGGATTACTGTCTCAGTGCACCCCAGGGGGGGGGGCCAGCACAGCCCACCGGGGATTGAACTCTGGTCCTTGCACGTGCCTAAGCAGGCTCTTTAATCTTCCTAGCTACCTGGCTGGCCCCAGTTTTTATTTATTTTATCATGATGTGTATTCTATGTTTCTCTTGTCTGGAATTTACTGAATTGTTTTCTTATTTTTTGAAAGTTGTAAACTATTATTTCTTCAGATATATTTTCTGTCCACACCCCTTTTGTGATACTCCCTTTATACATATGTTAAACCGCAGTATGTTACTCCACAGATTACTATGACCCTGATAAATTTTTAGCCTTTTTCCCCCCCTTGATATCTCATTTTATATAATTTTAATTGCTGTCTTCAAGTGTACCAGCTTTTCCTATGCAATGTCTGATATGCTTTCAACATTGCTGAGTTTCTTGTTTCCTATTTTATATTTTTCTTTTTGGAACTGGAGATTGAACTCAGGCCCTTGCGCTTGCCAGGGAAGTGCTTATTCTGCTGAGCCATCTCCCGGCCCCTATATTTTTCATTTGTAGAATTTCACTTGATCCTTTTTGGTATTTTCTATCTCCTCAATATTTTCATGTTTTCCTCTCACTCTTCAAGCAAACTGAAGCTATTTACAATAGCTCTCTAAATAGTCTTATTTGCTGATTTCTTTACCCTGTCCTTCCTGGGGCCCTTCCTCATCACTACATTTTCTTCTGCTCACATTTTCCTGATCTTTTGCATGTTGTGCCTAATACTTTTTAACTGAGTGCTAAAAACTGACAGTTTTTCATACTGAATGCCAGATTTTTTGTCTTCTTTAGAGAGCCACACTTTATTCTGATAGGCTTCTAACTTACACCTCAATTTAATCCTTTCAGGACTTGTTTTTAAGCTTCATTAGAGTGAGTTCAAAATTATTTTTACTGTAGGCATAGTTTGTCTTATTACTGAGGCTTCGGGTGTCTCTGCTGATGGCCCCAATAATTCCTGAAGAGCCATCTCTCTGGCCGGTGAGAACTAGAATATTCCCCAGCCCTGGGAGAACCCTGAGCACTCTTTATTTTACAAGGCCCCACTTAGGTTCTGTACACAATCTCCTGGAGCTTCACCTTCTTGCAACCTGGCAGTATTTCGCAACTGACTCGAAAGGAATCTCTGATGCATATATCAGGAGTCCCTCTCAGGTACTCCACCCCACAAACCTTAGCGAATTCTCTCCTTCACTTACAGAGGCCATCTGCCCTTCTCCTCGCCCTGGCTCCCTCACGGCACAGGGCTGGTGGGGCTTGCGCGGGGCGAGTCCCTTCTTGCAGGGACCATGGCCCGGCATTAGCTGTGTCAACAAAGAAAGCAAGCAACTGCTTTGTGTATTTTCTCCGTTGTTCTACTTATTTATAATGGAAGGCGATGATAGAACGAGTCCTAGTTTTTCCATTGTAGGCAGTATTATTTTTATTATCAGAAGGAAAACATTTAGAAGGATTTTGTTGGTGTTGTATATTTGTTTCTGTTTTCTTGTTTGTTTGACATTACTGGAGTCTCTCCAGCCCTTTTCCATTTTATTTTGAAACAGGGTCTCACTAAGTTGCCCGGGCTTTCCTCGAATTTATGATCTTCCTTCCTGTCTCAGCCTCCTAAGTAGCTGAGATTATACATGGGGATCACCATACGGAGCAAGAGAGCTTATTTTTAAGTGTAAATAAAATTTCTGAGTTGAGGTTAGAAGCTACAGTTTTACCTGCTGTGGTCTTTGTGGTTTTGACTCATAATTGATTTTTTATATATAAAATAAAAATGTATTATGTTCATAACTTTCACACAATTGATGACACAGAGAGCAGTAAGATTGTTGTGTATGTCACATATACACACATCAAAAGGTCTCACTGAATTAAAAAACAAAATGAAAGATCAAGAACCGTGGTCTGACACCTGCACATAGGAGTTGAGGATTTAACGAATAACAAGAAGTGTGAAATTTTAGAGCACAGCAGTGTTGACAACAAAAGAATGGTAAATACAAGAGCACGTATTTTTCACATTAAAACAGTAAAAGCTACATAACCAAAATCCAGACTGAAACATTAATACAAAAAAAGAAAAAAAAATTCAAAATTAAGAAGCAGATCAAAGGCCAAAGGAACATCTATCAATTAAATAACCATTTTAAAGAAATATCTAGAACATAACACAAGTGATATTTACCAATAAGATTTCCTGGTTTTCTTATATAATTTCTCTAGAATTAGAAGAGAATTTATCACTTAACAATGGGAATGTGATTTAAATGACTTTTTCTTTAAAATAATTACAGAATTCGAGGACAATGTACACACATGTTTATTTTATAGATGTATTCCAAAACTAAGATGTATAGTATAGAATACTTTTTTTTTAGTACATGATTTCTCTAATTTCCCCACATTCAAATTGATAAGGACTTTGGCAGCATCTACACTGAATTCTAATCTTGCAGAAAACTTATTTCTAAGTCAATAAACTGTAAAGCCAGGACAAAGCATTATTTATGATTCATGAAAACAATTGTGGGAGGGCCTGCCCCTTAGCTCAGTTCTTTAAGTGGCTGCTTCAACAAAGCAGTCAGGCTCAGGTTGCTGTGGTTTTATCCCCACAACTCAAGCCAGCCAAACCTGCCCTGAAGGCATTCGAAGCAAAAAGAAAACAATTGTGTTCCTGAGGCACCAGTCATAGAACTATTGAAATTACCAGCTGGACAGAACTTTGAAGATAAACCAATCAATTGATAGATGAAGTCTTGTATAGCATATTGTTGGATTTTGCTTCCTAATCTACTCTGTCAGTCTAT